AGGGTGTCATCGCCTGGTGCCATTTGAGAGCCTTTCATCATCTCGGTCCCTTGATTTGTACCTGTTGCCATCAAGTGAATTCTGATTCATAGCAGCGCTTGTTGACAAAGCACGACTTCCCGGTGGGGTTCTCAAAGCTCTCATTGCCATAGAAATGAACTTCCACATCCCTGTCCCCTCAAGCAGCTGGTGTGTTTGAACCTCTGACGTTTCCATTAGTAGCCAAGCACGTATACAGGGAACCACCAGGGATCCTTCGATTCCCAATGTTCTGTCCTTTTTGCCTCCCTGAGGGGGGATCGCCCTGCGTGTCATGCTGGGGGGAAAGCCCCACAGCAAGAAGGGCAAATTCCTGCCCCCCGGGCAATTCTGGGATCCCTTTGTTGCAGATTGCCCAAAGGAACAGTGAACAGGGGGGACTTAAAACTAGGGAGAAACAATTCATGCTTGAAAGCAGTCAATCAATGATCCAAAGAGTTATGCTGGAAAAATAAAAGAGCTTTGTTTTCCTGAACCTTCTTTTTACAACGGAGTTTTGGAGAATGTCAGGTGGGGAAGGAAGGCCATCACACCATTCTCATTGCTCTGGACCTGAATCTGGGCCTAGGCACAGGGGCCTGCCTGTCTTTCTAATGGGCAGAGGTGGCTATTGCCCGAGCGAAGGACTTTCAGGGTCCTGGAAGGGACCCGTGCCTACAAATATCTTAAAGTATCACCTCATTGTCCCAAACCTTTCCCTCTGTAGTGTATGAGGAAGCTTAGTGGTTTAAACATTTGCGTAAGAAGAGTCAGGCACGTTGGCACTATGGTGTAAATGGCTGCCACTTTTCTTTCTGGATTTAGGTTATTCTGGAAGACGTTTTTGTGTCTGGATGAGGCAATAGCATAGAGACTAGAATTTGGAGAGGGGCGTTAAGCACCTCAAGACAGTTCTTTCCTGGACTTAGCCAAATTAGCTTCAGGGAAAGGTGCTAAGAGATGTTTCTTTGGGGTTAAATGTTCCCAAGTGAAAGTGGCTTTCACTTTGACTTGTGCCCGGGAAGGTGAATTGGGGGTAGAAAAGAACTTGAGCTTTCCGAGGTCTGAGGAACAGAAAAGCCCCATGCACAACTAGAAGGCTAGCTTCCCATGTTCCTCTCCTGATCCACCCATTCTCCACCTTAATTTGAATCCAGAGATGATAGAATGGCTGCTCAGCCTAAAGACACAACGCTTGATCTTTCAGGGTTTCATGTATCTACCAGGAAGCACCATCAAGGAAATTGCCACAAACCCCGAGGAAGCTGGCAAGTTCGTCTTCGAAGTCATTCCAGGTACGTGACAAAAGGTGGGACAGAGGTACCTTATGCTTCCTTGTCACTTCTTGATCCTGAAAGTGAGCCAACTAGCTCAACGGCGTATTAAGAATACTGGTTCTACCTATAGTCAGTGAGCCTATAGTAACGACAATCCACTGTCACTGAGTTGATTCCGACCCAGAGCGACCCTGTAGGACAGAGTAGAACTGCTCGTAAGGCTTTCTGAGGCTTTAAATCTGCATGGGAGCCATTGCTCACATCTTTCTTTCACACAGAAGCTAGTGGGTTTGAACACCAGCCTTGCAGCTCAGTACCTAACCCTTGGCACTGCCAGTGTTCCTGAACTCTACAGGCTCATTCCCTAGTATTGAATAACTGAATGACTGAATATATAGATGAAGCTGTGTATTGAGTTCAACTTTTCAAGCGGCTACCAGGAGCATGCTGGGAGCCAGGCGTATGTCTAGGCCTGGGGAGACTTGAGACTCTTGAGAGAAGTATAATGCTTGTGGAAGGAAGTTCAGTTCGGAAAGGGAGCTGCCTCTGAAAGCTAACAACTACCAGGTAAAAGGAACCACATGAAATTGCCGTCTTGGAATGTAAACATGGTTGAATGTCAGCAAGGTCACATGGCTCAATGAGACAGAAGAAGAAGTAACCGTTCCAGCTCACTGACCACTGGGTATGTGCAGGTGCCGGTGGCTTCCCATCACATGTGTGCACAGCACACTGAAGTGCTTCTTCTCCAAGAAAAGTGCTTTCCTGGAACGTGGAGAGAGGGTTTCTTCTCTGCTGTTCCCTGCTCCCACACCAGTACTACTCCTGACAGAAACCATGGGCGTCCTGAGGCCACTGGGGAGCTCCTCTGTTTCCCACTGGGGAACGCCAAGCCCCCAGTGGGCCTGATCCCTGAATTCCCTCTTTACCTCTCACACAAGGCAGTTTGTGCTTAACATTGTTGTTGGACAAGGCAGTGTCCAGCAGTGATTAGAAGAGAACATTGGAAGGGAGACGGTCCTGGGCCCATTTTACATGTTCGGAGAACATCAAGGAGGCCAGTCTGGCTAGAGTGGGGTGGTGACAAGAGTGTGGGATAGATTTTATAGGCACTTGGAGGCAATGCTAAGGTCTTTAACTTTTATAAAGAGCCCTGGTGGTGTCATGGTCATGCATTGGGTTGCCAAGTGCAAGGTCAGCAGTTCGAAACCACCAGCCACTCTTTGGGAGAAAGATGGGGCTCTATACTCCCTCTCATCAAGAGCTGTAGTTTCAGAAACCCATAGGGGCGGCTCTACCCTGTCCTACGGGGACACTCAGAGTCGGCTTCAATTTCATGGCAGTGAGTTTGGTGTGGGGTGTTTTAGTGCTGACGCAATAAGGATGTAGTGGTTTTGAGCAGAGGGGGTGTGTGAGCTGACTTGTGTGCTTTTCAAAGACTGCTTTTGGGGCTGACTCAAAAATAAGAGGCGAAGCAGGGCAGAAGCAGGGAGGGTAAGTAGGAGGCGATCACAGCTGTTGCAGCGAGGAGAGATGACAGTGACGGAGGTGAGAAACCATTCATTTCTGGACACATTTTGAAGACACAGGGGATGGGGTTTGCTGGGGGATTAGAGGTAGGAAAGAGAAGTCAGGTGAACGCCAAGGCTTTAGCCTGAACAACTAGAAAGATGGAACGACTCGATTTGTGCATGTAGCAAGTTTGGGAGGGAAGAGCGGAGTTTCAGCTTTGGACAAGTTGTCGTGACCTTGATGTCCATAGTATGGAAACAAATATTCAAGATAATCCAGCTACTGGTTATGTGTTGGACTCCAGGAGAAAGACTGGGTTTTCTACTGTGGGAAAGAGTTACAAACTCCAAAACCCACAGGGGGTCGTTATGAGTCGGCATTGACTCAATGGCATTGAGTTTGTTTTTTCGTATTTTGGGTGGTAGACGTGCTGCTAAGGGGGTATAGAATTGGGACTCCCTAGTCAATTTGGAGCCTTGTTGGTGTATTAGCTACGCAAGGTCGGCAGTTTGAAACCATCAGCGCTCCATAGGTGAAAGATGGGGATTTCTACTCCTGGAAAGATTTATAGTCTCCGAAACCCAAAGGGGGCAGTTTTGTTCTGCCCTATAGGATCGCCGTGAGTCTCTCTGTGAGTCGGAAGCGACTTGAGGACAGTGAGGGAGGGAGAGTTAATTTGGAAGGGGGAGGGGGATATTAAGAAGGGGTGTCTAGAAAAGACAACTTCTGAGTTGGATTTTAAACGGTGGGTAGACGTTCCTTAAGGCAGAGTAAGAAAAGACAAGGGACACAGCCTGTGTTGCGTAGCGCTTGTGCAAGTGAGAGGATGTGTGTGTGTGTGTGTGTGAGGACAGAGTTATCAGTTGTGGGTCTCTTTCTTAGTCAGGGCTCTGACCAAACAGAAACAACACAGAACCTGTGAGATAGATGCATATGTGTAGAGAAAGGTTTCCCTCAATGGGATTGGCTCGTGCCATTGCGGGAGCTGCGAAGTCCAAAACCTACCAATCAGGTGGCAGGCTGGAGACCCCTGCTGGCTCAAGGGTCTAGCTGTGGCGGGCTGACAAACCTAAAATCTGTAGGCCAGACGGCAGACATGTGTGGGATTGTGCACAAGAGCCAGAGAACAGAAACAGGATGCGTGCGGCACAGAGGGAGTTCTGCCAGAGAGTTCTCATCTGGAGGCAGACCGCACCCTAAGGACCTCCCTCTGCAGCTGCTCGATGGATCACATGGCATGGGACGGCATTACAGAACGCCAGTCACGAGTCCAGTGTGTGGTCTAACCACCGAGAACCAGAGCCTTGTCAAGGTGCCACACAATGAACCATCTCAGCTTTATCTTCATCTCAACCCTTTCCCTCAAAGAGAGCCTTCCTGACGCACACTCAGGCTCGTTCACTCCCCTCCAGTCGGTGCCAACTCAGAGTAGCCCTAGAGGACACGGTAAAACTGCCCCTGTGAGTTTCCTAACTCTTCCTGGGAGTAGAAAGCCCCGTCTTTTTCCTGAAGAGCGGCTGGTGGCTTCGAACTGCTGACCTTGCAGTTAGCAGCCCAACATGTAACCCACTATGCCACCAGGGCTCCTGCCTCACACCCAGACGGGTCTCAAACTTCTTTTTTTCTTTTCTTAAAGAGCAACAAATCCCTTTCAAATAAGCTTTGCCTCTGGGATTTTGAACCTGCCTTACTATCGCTGATGCTTACCTCCCTTTGCCATTTGGAGTCATCTGATTCTGAATCCTCCCTCTCCTCTGGGCATCGGCTGTCCTGTCCAGAAGAGTCCGGCCATGGAGACCCTGACCATTCAGGTCTTCCCCGAGAGTTGAGGGTTTCTCAGTTAAAGAGTTCCCCGGGAAGTGCAAAATTCCTAAATGTCCCTTCTTCCTCCTCCAGCATCTTGGTACCAGAATCGAGCGGGACAGGATGCCTATGTCCTCATGGCCAGCTCCCAGGCAGAGATGGAGGAGTGGGTCAAGTTCCTCAGGAGAGTGGCTGGCACTCCTTCTGGAGGTAAGGGGCATTGTGGCTTTCCTGGCCAGGGGTCTGTGGGACACCCCTCAGGCGGGGAGCACGTAGCTCCAGGTAGGAGCTACAGTCTGCTCAAACAAGACCGGGCCCGTGGCCAAGTCCTCTGCAGGGTGTGGAAGACCAGAGGGTTCAGGGTCTCTAGTAGCTGGAGGGACTGCCCGGGCTTTGCGCTGACTGGTGTGAATGACCGCTTGTCTCTCTGACCTCAGTGTTTTCCTTTCCACTGGGGCGCTGAAGGCATTGGATGGCTGGCCTCGGCACCCACAGCTCTCCCAGGGACTTTCTGTAGCACCCCAAGTCTGCAGGAGGCTTATGTGTGCTGTGAGGGACAAGCCTACTTGATGGCCAGAGGGATGCTGAAAACCCAAGTCACACTGACCAGCCCAGGAAGATAAGATGCAGTAGAAAAGCAGGTCAGTCCGTCAGGGCCGCGGCCCAGGACTCGTTTCCGGAGACTCACAGGGCGCGGAAGAATTCACCACTGAAGACTCTTCTGGGTAATAGCCCAGAGTGTTAGGGCAGTGGTTCTCAACCTGTGGGTCAGGACCCCTTTGGGGGTCAAACGACCCTTTCACCAGGGTCTCCCGATTCATAACAGTAGCAAAATGACAGTGATGAGGTAGCAACGAAAATAATGTTGGAGGGGTTCACCACCACATGACAACTGTATGACAGGGTCGTGGCATTTGGAAGGTTGCGAACCACCGGTTTAGGGCTCCTGGGGACCCTGGTTCTGTTTTGCTGCTAGGAGAGGCCCCTTCCTATAAAAAAATGGATATGGCACACCTCGGAAAGGAACAAACACACGGATTCCATTTTCTTTCTTTGTTTCCTTTCATAACCATCAAAAAGGGCTGGCATAGACGCGATCACAAGTCCCCAGTTTCTTTCAATGTTTTCAGAAGGCGGGAGAGCTGTGTCAATGTATCGTCGTCACCTATTGTGGCCCCAGTGACTTCAGACATGATGTAAACCGCCCACAGTGCCTATAAGAGCCACTTATTGGCTGGTTCATCCATTTCTTTGAAAAACTTTCACAGCGTAATCATTTCCTGAACATGTGGAACTCTACCGTAGGGAACTCACCAGCTGCCCTTGAGACAGGACACCAGCTGGTCCGACACAGGACGACCCGTGGTGTCAAACCATGCTCCTTGGCATGTTCAGGGGGCCGATGGCTCAGAGGTGGGTCCCCAGGGCTTCTTCCCAGGAGCCTCCAGGGAGAGGAGACCGCCCCGCCTGCCGTTTAACACCTGAGAACATAGCCATGTGTACACCACGAACTTCATCACCCCGAAAACCGCCCCGAAAAGTATCGCCGTGTCTTCCTCCCTGCCATTGTTCATCTGGATGTTGTTTTCTTCTTCCTTCAAGAAGGATGAGCCCAGGGCACAGGTGATGTCATACTTTTCAGTTGACAGCTTCAGTAGTTTCTCATGCGGCAGTGTGTCTTTTTTTTAAAATTCATTTTATTAAGTCATTTTTATTAGGGGCTCATACAACTCTTATCACAATCCATACATACATTAATTGTGTAAAGCACATTTGTACATTCATTGCCCTCATCATTCTCAAAACATCCGCTCTCCACTTAAGCCCCTGGCATCAGCTCCTCATTCTTTCCCCTCCCTCCCCGCTCCCCCCTCCCTCCTGAACCCTTGATATTTTGTAAATTATTATTATTTTGTCGTATCTTGCACTGTTTGACGTCTCCCTTCACCCACTTTTCTGTTGTCCATCCCCCAGGGAGGAGGTTATATGTAGATCCCTATAATCGGTTCCCCCTTTCCACCCCACCATCCCTCCACCCTCTCAGTATCGCCACTCACACCACTGGTCCTGAAGGGATCACCCGTCCTGGATTCCCTGTGTTTCCAGTTCCTGTCTGTACCAGTGTACATCCTCTGGTCTAGCCAGACTTTTAAGGTAGAATTGGGATCATGATAGTGGATGGGGAGGAAGCATTTAGGAACTAGAGGAAAGTTGTATGTTTCATCGTTGCTGCACTGCACCCTGACTGGCTCCTCTCCTCCTTGAGAGCCTTCGTTAATGGGATGTCCAATTGCCTACAGATGGGCTTTGGGTCTCCACTCCGTACTTGCCCTCATTCACAATGATGTGATTTTTTGTTCTGATGAGGTCTGATACCTGATCCCTTTGGCACCTCATGAGCATGCAGGCTGGTGTGCTTCTTCCATGTGGGCGTTGTTGCTTCTGAGCTAGATGGCCGCTTGTTTACCTTCAAGCCTTTAAGACCCCAGACGCTATATCTTTTGATAGCCAGGCACCATCAGCTTTCTTCACCACATTTGCTTAAGCACCTGCTTTTGTCTTCAGCAATTATGTCAGGAAGGTGAGCATCATGGAATGCGGCTGTGTATTCTTAATGAATACATCTCAGGGGTTATTTAGGAATAAGCTTTAGAAATCTTACCCAGTGATGCTAAGCGAACCAGAGGTGCCCACTGGGTGGATAGAGCGGAATCTAGGCCAGGGATGCCAAGAGGCCTCACAAGGGCCTGCCACCAGGAGGTGGCGCCTCAGCCCAGAACCTGTTCTGTCTGCATCTCTGGGGACTGTAGTCTTTCATTCTTTATTTCTCAGCATATCTGCTCATGTTTGTCTGGCCAGCGTTCCACCTCACGCCCATACCTGTCGCAGACACAGCTGCGGGAGCCTCCACCAGCCTCTACTTCTCACTCAAGTCCTCGGGAGACTGAGCTTCGCCTCTACAGCCCATTCCAATCCCCGAGAAGGCAGACCCACCTGGCTCAGCTTGACTGAGGGGCCCAGCTGTGGACCCAGGGTCGGGGCAGGGAAGCAGATCCGTGGCCTATGACCTGCTGACGTTCCAGGGCTACAGGAGAAGTCACCTGGATGGATAGTCACACTCTCGAGCACTGGTCACAATCATTATTAGCAGCTGCAGCCTTTGCTGGAAAGCGTGACATGGTTTTATGAACTGTTTTCCAATCCTTCAACACGATCCCCCCGCCCCCACCCGTGCTGCTTATGCTAAGATGAGACTTTTATTTACTGAAGCTTGATGACACTGTTGAGCCTGGATAATCATGGTGGCGACTTCCCTTAAAGTCCTTGTCATGGATTGAATTGTGCTCCCCCAAAACTGTGCACCAGCTTGGTTGGTGCACTGTGTAATGATAGCATCCTCCTCCACCACTGCACGATTTGATGTGGACAGGCAATTAGCTGTTAGGGTATTAGGGTGGGATGTAACACCCTCAACAGGTCCCAGGCCTGATCTGCACAAGGGGAGTTTCCCTGCCATGTGGCTACCCCTGTTATCTGACAAGGGGGTAAAAGGAGAAGTAAGTAGAAGGGAAGTATCTCACTACCACCTAGAAAGAAGAGCCAGGAATAGAGTGTGCCCTTTGGGTTCAGGGTCCCTGTGCTGAGAACATCCTAGGCCCAGGAGAAGATTCATGTCCAAGGACATGGAGATCTCCAAGGGACACCAGACCCACAGATGTGGAAAGAAGACCAGGACCTTCCCACACAGCCTACCGGCACAGAGAGAAAGCCTTCTCCCAGAAGTGGTATGCTGAATCAGAGCATTTAACTGCTTGTTACAGCAACCCACCTGTAGTATTTCTGTCATCCTAGCCCTAAAGCCTTCTCCCAGAAGTGGTATGCTGAATCAGAGCATTTAACTGCTTGTTACAGCAACCCACCTGTAGTATTTCTGTCATCCTAGCCCTGGATAACTGGGACAGCCTTGGTGATGAGAGGGGAGCCAGCTAGCCACCGTCTGCCATCCGTCTGCTTGGCTCTTGGCCCATGCTGACCCCATTCACAGCGACTGGAACCCGGACTAGGTGCTCATGGTATTGCTGGGATCCGCAGGGTTTTCACTGATTTCCAGGCCACTTCTTCTTCATCTGGGAGCTCTGCTGAAACCCTGTTCGATATCATCGCACCATTCAAGCCTCCACTGGCTGTGGCATGGCCAGGCACTTGCTGCTGCCGGCACGAACAGTGGCAGCAGTTAATCTCACCAGAGTCCGCACACGCGCTCAGAGCCAGCTCACTGTATCGGCACTTACACCTGGACACACGTCCTCAGGAAGTCTGGCTGTGCCCTTGCTTCCCTCAGTGCCAACACACTTGGGGATTTCTCCCTCACCACACCCTAAGGCCCCTCCCTGAGAAGCAAGTCAAGCAGAAGTCCCCGTTATTCAGCCTAGAGCCCAGGGGAAGAGGGGACCAGGGGACAGCACTATTCACTTACTCTATCATTTAGCTCTCATGTAACATATTTTTTAACCAGAATCAGAGGTCCCAGGACAAGAAGACACTGCCAGACAGCAATGAGTCCAAGGCCCTGGAGCAAGTCAGATATTTGTCCTGACTAGTTGTAAGTCCGGAGACTTAGGTCCCTGAAGAGTGAGTGGCTTGGACTACAAGGGGCCTGGATGGTGTGGGGCGGGCCTGGGCACCTGCCTGCCTGCCTGCTTCCATCACTTGGTACACGTTGTAACCAGTACAAACCAGACCCACTGCCACGCTCTCCATTCTGACTCCCAGCCACCCTGTTCAGGGTTTCCAAGGTCGAAATGTTTTCATGAGCAGAAAGCCTCGTCTTTCTCCTGTGGAGTGACCGGTGGGCTTGAAACCCCCACCTTTGCAGTGAACAGGCCCAGGCTAATGCCCCAGGTGTCAAGGCCTTCTCCCATCAGTCTATTGTGAGTCCCAGAGCTGTGTCACTACTGCCTCCAGAGCCCCATGGGAAGTTCTCTAGGGCTGCCTCCCTCCCAGAAGCTCATCACGTTTGCTGCTACCACCCTGGTCCAGGTACCAGCCTCTCTTGTTTTCTCTCTCACTGCCATCCAGGCAGGGCTCACTCAGAGTGACCCGCTGTGGGGGTTTCCAAGACTGTAACTATTTATGGGAGTAGAAAGCCTGATCTTTCTCCTGTGGAGCTGCTGGTGGGTTCGAACTGCCTACCCTGTGGATCGCAGCCC